TCATATATATATATATATATATATATATATATATATATATATTGAAATCAGAAAATATCCGTGAATTGGTGGAAAAATGGAATTTAGTGAGATTTTTCCAGATCGGCCTCGCACTTGTAGGATGCTCACTTTGCCCTGACTCTGGTTGGAAGCCTTAAAATTCTATACTCAGACAAAAATAATTTCAAATGACGTCTCAGGTGGTTACATTTATTCCCCGTCAGGCTGAAAACACTTTTCTAAGCATTCATTTTCATTATTTCGTGCCGACCCTGCCCTATCAAAATGCCCTGGTTGCAGACTGAGGATGTTTTATGCTGGATAATGAACCAAAAAAAAAAAAAAAAAAAAAAAGGAGGAAAAACCCTAAATGGTTAACGGAGATTTATAAAAGTAGATGCCCACAAGATTTTGGGTTTAACAAAATTCATCCCAGCAAGCAGTACCAAAGTCTTCACAAAAACACTTTTGGATACAGAATCCAAATCTTTGATTCCAGGACTGAATGCTTCACTTTTATAGCACAAACACTCGTATTTGAGTACAAACCCTGATTTTTCTGTCCAAAATGGTGATTTTTAGACTCAAAAGCTTTGATTCTAGGTTCAAATGCCTCATTTTTACCATCAACCATCAACTTTTAGGGTACAAAACCTCATTTTTAGGGCCCAGAGTCTCATCATTAGAATTCAAAACTTTGATTATAGGTTCAGATGCATAGTATTTAGACTACAAACCCTAATTTTTAGCGTAAAAACTCTCATTTTTCTGTGCCAAATATTCATTTTTTAGAGCCAAAAGCTTTGATCCTAGGGTCAAATGCCCCATTTTTAGGGCACAAACCCTCATTTTTAGGGTACAAAATCTCATTTTTAGGGCCAAAGCCTCATTGTTCAAATGCAAAACTTTGATTCTAGGTTCAAGTGCGGTGTATTTATACTGCAAACCCTCATTTTTAGGGTACACATCCTCACTTTTCTGTGCCAAATGTTAATTTTTAGAGTAAAAAGCTTTGATTCTTGGGTCAAATGCCTCATTTTTAGGGTGCAAATCCTCATTTTTAGGGCCTAGAGCCTCATTGTTAGAATTCAAAATTTTGATTCTAGGTTCAGATGCATTGTATACATTCTACAAACCAACATTTTTAGGGTACAAACCCTCCTTTTTCTGTCTCAAATGCTCATTTTTAGAGTCGAAAGCTTTGATTCTAGGGTCGAAAGCCTTTATGTTTATCCTCCCTAAGGGGAATGGAAGCTAGAAGCCATTTTGCAGCTAAGTAGTTTTGTATAAAATTGTACCCAAAAGTTTCACGTTCTCTATACTAGACAGATGCACTTGGTGGGTGCTCAGCTACCAAGGTTGTCCCCCAGCGGACAGCACATTGGTCCGGGGTATTGCAGGCTCCCAGATTCAAAATGCAATAACTTATCCTTGGGCCAGAAGATCCTGACACCTCTGGGAGAGGGAAAGTGCTTCATTTTCCACAGCAGGGAAAAAAAAAAAGTGAATTTAAAAAATAAATTTATGTGGATACTCCTGTAAAGATCACGCTACAACCCTGCCCTTCACGTGCCCAAAGGTCTTCACGTGCCCAAAGGTCCCTCAGATGAAGAACGTGCTCTAAAGTCTGGTCTGTTTGCAGGTCATTAATGAAGCAGATCATCATTCCACGTGGGCTTCGAAATAATTGATGATAAGAATAAGGCTGCGTGGTAATTCTGCAATGCCACGGAAAGCAGGTGTGTGTCTCAAACTCCAACTTCAATCACGTGGGGTGTTTTTTTTTGTTTGTTTGTTTTGTTTTTTTTTTTTTTTTCCTTTCAGGATCAGAGCGGGTTGCATTCATTACCAAAAATGTCAAAGATTGGTTGTAATGAGACTCGGGGACTAATCGGACACTTGCCAGCAGAAACAGCAAGTTTCGAGAGCTGTGTGTTGGGATGACCTCCCTCTTTCTAGAAATGCCTTTTGCGAGATGACAGCTGATCTTGCGACAAGAGGAAACCATTTTAACTCCGAGAAATGTCAGCATT